AGAACTCATATCTGCCAAACAATTGTTTTGGGTTTTTGTGAAGGGACAGGTTTAGATAGGAGAATATAATGTAAATGTTCATATTTTATTGTTCATAAATGTTTGTTTTAGCGCGAAACGCTTGTGATAACAACCTCTGTCAGAATGGAGCAGCTTGTAATGTTGCTGGTTCCTGTACTAATTATGCCTGTACCTGTCCAGCTTGCTTCACTGGAACATTCTGTCAAACAGGTAGAGCAATTCCTTGTATTTGTCAAACAAGGTTTGGATTTTTGAGGAAGGAATGAACAAAGAGAAGTGGCAGTTTGAAAGCATTATCATGAAAAAATATAATTCAAGTACTATTATATTCGGGCTCTACCACTCTTAAGTCTTGGTTCCATTTTGAAATTTTAATATTTTTTATATTGTTTAATTAACTGCTCAGTTAAAAAAATCAAATAATTTATCCATTCATAGTAAAGATTGAAACAATTCAGACATTTCACTACTAAAATGCCTTAACTATAACCATGCCAGACAAGGGTGTATTTTTTTATTTTTATTTATTAAGGTATAGCAAAATATTACAAAAGGCAGAACAGATCTGAAATTATTGCATTACAAAAAACAGATAACCAAATAGAAACTTACACTAAGCTGAAAACACACCAAAATCACACACAATATCAAAAATATACAACTAGATAAAAAATAGACTATACAAAAAGATTAGCTAAAAACGAATAGTAAAATTGACATAAAAATATAAAAACAATAAAACATTAGAATAACATCAAAAAATACATTAAAAAACAAAAATAGCCTATATTGTATAAACAAATTTACTAAGAATGGATTACTGCACTTTAAGAAGATATTTAAGAAATTAGCTAAATATAAATTGTAAAATTTACAAAGAATATAAAGACAATACATCATAAAATAACATCAAAAAATATAAAAATAGTCAATACGTTGTGCATCTTATTGCGAATTAATTAGTTGAACAATGAAAGGAATAGCTGAGCGTTTATATCTATCAGTATTGCACTTTGGCACTTCAAGGGTCCTGGCATTAGATCTAAGGTTAAACTTTTGCTTGTGGCAAGGAGGGAGCATGTCTCTGTGTTGGGCAGATTTAAGAAGCCCTTTACCAAAAGCGAGAACAAGGCTTTCCCTCCTTGCCGCAAGCGAAGGAAGTTTAGTTTGTTTCAAGGCTAAATCATAAGAAATATAATTATTTCTTAGTATAATTCGCAAAGCTCTTTTTTGTACAGACTCAATTTTATATGCAAGTTTCTTTGTAATTCCCCCATGCCATACCGGGCAAGCAAACTCAAGAATAGGTCTAATATAGCATGTAAAAACCCTGATTAAGTCATTCAAGGGTGCACCCAAACTTCTCATTATGAATAAGGCGAAAATTCTTCGGGATGCTCTAGAAACAATCTCAGTGACATGAATGTCCCATTTCATATTGTCCTGAATAATAACTCCTAGCAGTTTCAGGCTACTAACGCATTCAATGATTGTATCCTTAAGGGTAAATTGCTGAGAAATTGCCAGATTAGCAGCGTAAACAGGAGGCGGGCGTTATCAGAAACCAGAAGACTTACCTACAGAGACGGCTTCAACACAGCAGACACAAACAAATGCAAATCCATGCTGCGCAACAGACGCGTGCGATGAATGTAAAACCGCAGAGCTCGCACAGGGCACCAAACCCTGTCCTCCCACACTGAAGAGCTGTCTCTTATACACATCTAGATGTGTATAAGAGACAGCACTCCAATATCAATTAATTTATTAATAACAATTGTATGATCAGCACGATCAAAGGCTTTGGCAAAATCAACAGCACATAAATTAAAAAAACATTGTTTACCATCAGTATCCTTCAATATAGAGTCAATTAAACTAATAAGATAGTGGGTAGTGGATGAGCCCTTGCGGCTCCCAAATTGTCTACTGTCAAGATTAACTTTAATGTCCTCTAATATCCACTTAACTAAAAAAGTTTCAAAAGTCCTTGCTAAAAGTGGCGTAAGAGAGATAGGTCGTAAATCATTACAAGTAGTGGCCCCATTAATTTTCGGAACCGGCACGACAGATGCATGTTTCCATATATCAGGGAAAATACCCGCTTTTAAGGCACTATTAAATACACAAGTCACAGGAGGAGCCAGTTCAAAAGCAAACTCACTAAGCAATTTAGCTGGGAGGTCTTCAGCATGTCCAGCTTTTCTTGGTTTAATTTTCTTAAGTAGTCGTTCAACCTGTCCAGTATAAATTACAGGAGGCGGCTGTAAAGTTGGAAGATATGCAGGTAACTTATTGTAATCTAGAGCCGGAAGTTGGCAACAGACATCCGCAAAGTGGTGGTTAATTATCTCTGCAGATTCTTCTTCATTAAGGCCAGGAATACTAAATGATTGCTTTCGCTTAAAGTTACACAGTTTTCCAACATGTTTATGCCATTTGGTCGAGTCCAAATTCTGAAGGCCAGAAATTGCATTTTGATAGTATGACTGTTTTGCTTTCTTAATGGCTTTTTGAACCATGTTACGATATTTTCTCCACTCGTAGGATTGTCCATATTTAGTATAAGCTTTTTGCCTTTTTTTTATAAGCTTTCTAATACCATTGGTCATCCATGGGCGATCATTATCCTTTGTTTTTAGGGTTTCAGTAGGGAAATTAACATAGAAGGCATTTTTCAATGTACCTGCAAGCTCCAAAGTTTTCTTGTTGATATCATTACAATCATAAACATTATCCCATTGATGATTAGTTAACCACTGGCCAAATTGTCTCATGGATGAGTCCTTCAATGGTCTGATGTCTAATTTGAAACGTTTAGTTTTAGGAAGACTTCTTATCGGTTTCATCAAGACAGAGTTATGATCACTGCAACCAAGTGGAGCTTTGCATTCAATGTCACCATACAATTCAGGGTAATTCAAAAAGACTTTATCAAGTATAGATCTATTCCTCGTATAAAAGTTAATAACTTGGGTTAATCCAAGGTTATCCAGAAATTCGCTGGTATTAAGGTTGTTAAAGTCACCAAGAATAATAACTGGAGCTTCATAATTAGTGCTACGGATCATATCAACTGTCTCTATCACGTGTGATACAAGTAAATCCCCTCCAACTGCTGAGGGAGGATAATATATCGCCCCAACATAAATGTACTTGAACTGCCTGATGTTATTAGGTATGGTAATACAACACCAAAGACATTCATGCTCGCACTCATCATGAAGGTCAGTGTAGTTAACAATTAAATTGTTAGCAGAATAAATAGATACGCCTCCACCTATTTTTCCGGATCTAATTTTATTAAAATTTCGATATCCAGGTATAAGTGCAACATTCTCAGTTTCAGCGTCTAGCCACGTTTCTGTAATCACTGCTAACTCAATTTTAAATTTATTAAAAGTAGCCTCAAGCTCGTCAACTTTGTTTCTGATCGACCTTGCGTTAGTTAGGAACATTTTTGGGCACGAAAAAACGTTACTGTCAGATTGATTCTCAATTTTAATAGCTACAAGATTTCTAATTACAATACCTCTCGTCTTAGCCGATTTGTATGGCCTATTTGAATTGATCACAAATATTTTTCTTCTTAGTTTCCTACCTCCTCTTCTCCTACGATGTTTCCTTTTACAAAATGGCCGACTAGGTCTAGGCCAAGCACAGTTCAATTCGTAATTGAATGCAATGACCTCCAACGGCACAACTTGCTTCACGAATCGTAGCGCGGTCAGCTCCCGTTCAGAATATCGGTAACACATTATAAAAAACCACGAACAAATCTTCGTCCTTAACGCACAGAGAAGCAAACAAGCAATATTTATGGTTAAATCACCAAGATGCACAAAAAAATCACATAAAAGCACAAGATTACTGGAAAAAAACAGCAAAAATACCATAAAAACAAGAGCCAAACACAAAAACGTGGAGTCTCGCAGGTAACAGCGCCCTCAATGGCCTATGCAAAATAGTATTGTATTGTGTCTACTTTTAATTGGTGAGAATTTTTAGATTTGGTTTGGTTTTGGTGTAAAACCCACTACCAAGGATAACTCAACGAAAGTTTTATTTCTCAATGGCCTATCTGGTGGTGAATTTAGCAGTGCACAGGGAGACAATGCGGTGTTAGCTGGTTGAAAGCATTAGTATGAATAATTGATTTAACCATGGAGGTATAAAAATATTTTATATATTTTTATACCTCCATGATTTAACTACATATTATTTACTATATTTATTTGAACTTTTTTTCTTTTCCATAGCTGTTAATGCTTGTGCTAATAACCTCTGCCAGAATGGAGGAGCATGTAATGCTGTTGCTGGTTCCTGCACTGATTATACCTGTACCTGTACAACTTGCTTCACTGGAGCATTCTGTACAACAGGTGTGATTTTATTGCTAAGTATTTTTTCAAGTGATATTATTTTATTAATTTTATATTTTATCAATGTATTAACATAGTAGTCAATGTGTTTGTACTTCTCCAGGTTTTGTGTTAAGGCATCACATATAACATCAAGACGACACCTTACCTACAGTTTTTTATTCTATCTATGCCTAACATCTACTTTTCAATTTAATGGCATTTACAGATGATTACAATATTTTAAATGCTACTCTTTCATAGAACAAAAACAAACTCAAACAAGCACAAAACTCAAAGTTGATTAAGGATTCATAGAATCTATAGATCTATAGAATCTATCTAATCTATGGAATTCCTGTAATTCTTATACTTGTATCTGTCCACCATGCTTCTCTGGTGCTCTCTGTCAAACAGGTAAAAAAACCTGAATGTTATTAATAACTCTAGTCCTCCTGAAGGTACTGACTGACTGAAGAACTGGAGTTGATTGAAAGCTTTGGTTCTATTTCTGGTTGTTGATCTGCTGAGAGATACAATACGATACAATTTATTAACCATAAAAAAACACATCAATATAAATAATTTTCTTGCAATGTCCAGCTCAAGATGTTAAATATGTAGTGGCCACCTTCATCAGAGTGCTTGTAATGCGTTGCTGGGTCCTGTACTCTTTTCTAACCTAAGTATTATCTTCCTTCACAATCTTAGTGTGATCATTGTGTGTGTGTTCATTTATTGATCCTAGCTCAAAATGTTTGTGCTTGTAAAGCGTTACTGGTTCCTGTACTCTTTTCTAAACTAAGTATTGTACATTGTAGAATGATTTTCTTTTATGTTTATGTCATGTTAACTGTAATTGTATTGTTTAAGTGATTGATTGTATGCGCTCTGGGGTCGGC